CGAGAGCCATGAGAAACACTGTCTTGAACGACAGGTGTTTCATGTCCACCAGCTGGATTGGCTCGAACGGGGCGCCTTTCATGGCCTCCAAGACCGTGGAAAGGTCCCACGTCGGGACTGAAGGGGGCCTTGGAGGGTTCAGCCTCCGAGCTCCCCTAAGGAAACGCACGACTAAGTCGTTTTTCCCAAGCGACTGGCCAGACACCGGTTTTGCAAACGTTGCTATGGCCGCCACATATACTTTGAGCGTGGATGGGGTCCTGCCCTTATCCAGTAGCTCTTGAAGGAAGGAAAGCACTTCCGCAACCCCGCACTCCACAGGTGAAAGGCTCTGGGCCTGACACCATGTCGAGAAAACAGACCATTTTGAGGAGTAGAGCCGCCTGGTAGACGGAGCTCTAGCCTGCGCGATCGTGTTTAACACTCCCTCTGGGAGGCTAGCGGGTACCCGTTGATGGCCCATGCGTGCAGGGACCATAACTCCGGGCGAGGGTGCCAGATTGAGCCCTCCGCCTGAGAGAGGAGGTCTCTCCTCAATGGTACAGGCCATGGGGCAGTGCTGGTCAGCTGCATCAGGGCAGGGAACCACGTCTGGTTCGTCCAGAGCGGGGCTACAAGCAGCACTGGGCATCCGTTTTCCCTGATTCGTTCCAACACCTGAGGCAGGAGCGAGACAGGAGGAAAAGCATACAGGGGGCAGCGGGGCCAAACATGAGCCAGCGCGTCCTTGCTTTTCGAGAAAAACTCCGGGCAATGAGCGTTTTCTTGGGACGCGAATAGGTCCACCTGAGCTCTGCCGAACGTTTTCCACAGCAGCTGGACCGTCTGCGGGTGCAGCGACCATTCCCCTGCTGGAACGTTGTTCCTGGACAGTCTGTCTGGTCCCACGTTCAGGTGACCAGGCACGTGCGCCGCTCTCAGTGAGAGCAGGTTGTGCTGAGCCCAAACCAGGAGGCGTTCCGTCAACCTGTAAAGGTTTCGTGACCTGACGCCGCCCTGGCGATTTATGTATGCCACCACCGACATGTTGTCCGACCGGACCAAGACGTGGTGGCCTGTTATCTGGGGACAAAAACGCCGTAGCGCTTTGTCGGCTGCTATCATCTCCAAGCAGTTTATGTGAAGGAGCTTTTCCCGTTCTGACCACAGGCCAGCTAGCGGTCTGCCCTCGAGCAGCGCTCCCCACCCCAAGGTGGAGGCGTCCGTAGACACCACCTTCACGCTCGAAGCGGTCCCCAGACTCACACCTGACTGATACCAGTCGGTTTCTCTCCAAGGTTTCAGAGCTGAAACGCACTGAAGGTCGACCCTGAGGCGAAACAGACCCGCTGTCCATGCCCTGGGTGGAACCCGCGTCTTCAGCCACATCTGCAGTGGGCGCATGCGGAGCAGGCCCAACTGGAGTACAGAGGCTGCTGAGGCCATCAGCCCCAGCATTTTCTGAAACCTTTTGAGCGGGACTATCGCGCCGTGGCGGAAGGATTTCACGCCGCGCTGAATATTTAGCACGCGCTCTGGTGACAGGCGTGCTGTCATGGACAGCGAGTCCAACACGGTTCCCAGAAAGGAAATTTTCTGACTGGGAGACAGTGAGCTCTTCGCCCAATTGACTGTGAGGCCCAGCTTCTCGAGGTGCTCGAGCAATGCGGCCCTGTGTTCTATGAGCTCCGATCGTGATCGAGCTAGAATCAGCCAATCGTCCAAGTAGTTCAGAACTCGCATGCCCTGAAGTCTCAGGGGCGCGAGCGCCGCGTCCATGCACTTCGTAAATGTACGAGGCGCTAGGGACAGGCCGAACGGCAGGACTGTGTATTGATATGCCTGGCCCTCGAAGGCGAATCTCAAAAATCGCCTGTGATGGGACGCTATTTGTATTTGGAAATAGGCGTCTTTCAGATCTATCGACATAAACCAGTCCCCGAAGCGCACCTGCGCGAGGATTTTCCTGGTCGTAAGCATTCTGAACTGGCGCTTCACAAGCACTCTGTTCAGCTGCCGCAGATCTAAAATGGGTCTGAGACCCCCATCCTTTTTCGGTACCAGAAAATATCTGCTGTATAGGCCCCCTTCGCTCTGAGCCTGAGATAAAGGTTCTATAGCCCCTTTGCTCAGTAGTTTCGCTATTTCGGCACGAAGTAGATGAGATACTTCGTTTTTCACCGTGGTTTCGACGCGCGCCGTATAACGGCGCGGGCGTCGAGCGAATTGTAGCGAATAGCCTCTCTTTATAGTGTTCAGCACCCATTCTGAAACCCCGGGAAGCTTTGACCACGCATCTGCGTGAATAGCTAGAGGCAGAATGAAATCCGGGCTCTGGCCGCGACAAAACGGCAGCTCGAGAGCCTGGGCATACTGGGAACACAACACCGTGTTTACAGCGTTCGAGGCGGGGGGCGCGCTGATCACAGCGGGCGACCTGGCCGCGCTCAGCTTTTTTATGGCAGATTGTGCAGAAAAAGCGAGCGGGGGAGATCCCGTGGGAATCGGCGTGTCTGTGAGAAAATGTGGGCGCGGGGCTGCGGGCACATTTAATACACTGAAAACACTGTCGTTCATGGCCGACTGAATGTGTGTTGGTTTCGTTTTTACAGAAACCATGGGACACGCAGCATGTAGTGTGAGCGGGCATGATGACATGGGCACTTGCACTACATTGTTTGCACAATCGACCGGAGTCGATTTTATTTGTGCTAGCCCTGCACCGTGGCGGGCTGTGTTTGTGTGTGGGAATGGGCACTGGGTGGGCATTCTTACAACACTCATAACACCTTCGGCCGTGGCCGGAACACCAGAAAATGCACTCTTTATTGGATTTATCTGGGTAGCCGTAAAAACGGCTTTTGTGCGCAGGCAAACGGGCTGTGACACCGGCTGACTCTCTGCGAAATACACTGGGACAGTCGCGATGTTTGGAACTGACCGAGCGAGAAGTTTTGGTGAAAAACCGGCCGCAGCGGGATCTGAACACCGTCGTTTTCCTAGAATGGCTAGGAAGATTTTGAGGCCTCGGGCTTGATCTCAATCCTCGGCCGGGGCCCGCGCTGAGGGGGGCGGCGTCCAGCAGAGCGAGAGCGCGGTCTTTGGTCTCGGGCGTGGCGGCGCTGTGAAGCGGCGGCGGCGGGCGGTGCAGGCTGCGGCTGAGAGCTGCGAGCAGGCGGCGGTTTAGAGCGACCTGCAGCGGAGCTCGAGCGCTTCGGGAGGAAGTGCTTCATGGCCTGCGAAGTCTTTAGCACCTCCATGAATCTATCCACAAAGTCTGTGACGGCAGATCCGAAAAGGCCCGCTTGAGAAATGGGCGCGTCGAGGAACACAGAGCGCTCGGCTTCCGTCATCTCGGACAGCGTCAACCACAAATGTCTCTCAGCCACGGTGAGAGAGGCCATGTTTCGTCCTATGGCCTGTGCAGCAGCTTTAGTAGCGCGAAGAGCGAGGTCTGTAGCGCTTCTCAGGTCCGCGACGCAGATCGCTCCGGGTCCTTCCTCGTCCAGTTTAAGGAGAAGGTCGGCCTGGAAAATCTGCAGGATGGCCATAGTGTGCAGCGCTGAAACTGCTTGCCCGGCGGCGGTGTAAGCGCGACCGTGCATGGATGACGTCACCCGGCAGGCTTTAGATGGAAGCGTCGTGTGCGCGCGCCGTCCAGCGGAGGGCGGGCAGAGATGAGACGCTACAGCTGGTTCCACAGGAGGAACAGAAAGGTATCCTCTTTCCTTCGCGCCATCCACAGAGGAGAAAGCAGCAGAAGCAGAGGTACGAAGCCTGGCGGAGAAGGGGGCGTTCCACGATTTCGTAACTTCGTCGTGAAGTTCCGGGAGGAAGGGCGCGGGCCGCGATTTCGACGGAGCCTCGTCACTTCCGAGAAAGCGTCCGTCCATTCTGTTGCGCGGCGGCTGCGCGGGCGCCTCCCAATCGAGGCCGATGCTTTCAACGGCCTGAGAGAGCAGACGCATCAGCTCAGTCTCAATGCCGGCTCTCTTACCAGTGGTCTGGCGGGAAACGCTAGCGGAGGGGAGATCCACGGAGCTCGCCCAATCCTCACTATCGGACGCCAGAAGAGAACACGCCTCGGAGGGTTCGTCAGGCTCGTGGATGGACGCGGCGGCAGGCGGCGGCCGTTGTCCGTCAGTGAGCGACTCGAGCGAAGCCGGCGAAGCAGGCGGGCGAACCGGCGAGCTTTGGCGGGCTGGAGATAGCTCGGGAGCGCGCTGGGCGCGGCGCTTTTTACGGCGCGGCGTCACGGCGGGCTGTGGTGAAGGCTCGGAGAATGATGCCAGGCGCGTCCTCAGAGTCACCATGGGCAAAAGCTCGCAATGAGGGCATCCGCCGTCAGCGAGCGCGAGAGCCGCGTGATCCTCACCCAGACAGGAAACACAGATGACGTGTCGATCTCCATCGCTGAGCGGGGCGCGGCACGAGCCACAGGAAGGCATCTTTAAAAAGACGCTGCTCTTTTTGTGAGAGAAGTGTAAGTCGCGTCAAGTAAGCGAACAAACACTTCTCAACAGAGAAATACACACAGGGTATTGAAAGGATATATAACGCCGGAAAGCGCAGCAGGTACGGCAGATGAAGGCGGCGAGGCCAGCGACTCCAGAGCTCGTCCCGCTGAAAGGCTTGCTTCGACGGCGCGGCTTCTCACTCCGGATCCAGCGATGCGTGTGCTTCGCTGAAGAGGTAAAAATCAGCTTGTATCAGCCTAACGAGCATATTTATAGGGCGAGACCACGCCCCTTCTGGCGGGACGTGACGATATGGGCGCGAATTGCCCCCATTGGTCATTACGTCACGCAGAGTCTCTCTCGATAGGCTGCTGCATTTGCTGCAGAGCAACCAATAGGCGCGCGAGCTGTTTCGCCTATGTTTGCTTGCTGCTGCAAAGCGTTTTGCATTAATAAAAAATTAAAGGATAATTTTTGGCTTCAATATCTCGCGGAAAAGAGTTTTTCCCCTAGCGTAAGCTATTACGCAGTACGAGAGATACTCTCGTAAGAGAACTGAACTATTGGATCATCAAAATCATTCATGTAAGGGAGCAGTACATACAGAATAAGTGTATGAATGAATCTGGCTGCTGGTTTTTACATGTCGTCCTTGTCTTTGGCGCCGTGTTTGAGGATGCGAGTGAACTCGACGTAGTTGAAGTTCCCTTTCTTGTCGATCGGCGCCTCTCGGAGGAGCTCGTCCACTTCTTCATCTGTGAAGCGGTCACCCATGGTGGTCAGCAGCTCCCGGAGATGATCCTCGTGGATGAAGCCTGTCACACACGGACATCACAGGCTGTCTGGCTGCTTTATGTCAAGATCACAACCATTTAAGAGCGAACGTTTTAAAATACTTCAGGGGCAGTCGACTAAACACAAAAAGCCAATCATTTAAAAAAAAAAAAGAAAAAAATTGATTTCTTTTTGTTGTTGAAAAAATGACATTTTATGGTTTTAGTTAGTTAACTATAATAATCATGTTTAGGTTTTAGGAAGAATGTATATATATTAGTCATATTTCAAGGTTATATTTAAGCCTAAAATCAATAGAAAAATATTTATGTAAAAAAATATATATATATATATATATATATATATATATATATATATTGTGCATTTTTGCTATTATTTCTTAGACTTATGCCTTTAACCTATGCTGTACATTTTAATATGAACTATTCAAGAAGCTGTTAATGTCATTTTAAACTCTGAAACTGTCAATCCTGTGAATAATTACAGCCCAACATATATTAAAATGCCTTAATTTAGCTTGAGATGGTGCAATGCAGTTTATTAACACTTGAACACGTTATTTGTCTGGCAGATTAAAGTCCTCGCTGTACCAGAAGCGTCTTCATCGAAGCACGTGAAGGCGTTTCGTATGACGTCTTCAGGGTCGGTCCCGTTCAGACGTTCTCCAAACATGGTGAGGAACATGGTGAAGTTGATGGGACCTGGAGCTTCACTCATCATTCCCTCCAGATACTCGTCAGACGGGTTCTTCCCTGGGTCACACACACACACACACACACACACACACACACACACACACACACACACACACACACACACACACACACACACACACACACACACACACACACACACACGAACTTCACTGTCCTACTCTAAGTTTCATTTGTGTTGGTAAAATCATTCCAGTGTGGTTGATGACAAATGCTTGATATTTTGTATGTTATTTGGCCTGCAAAATATCACTGACAAAAGACATTATTGGAGGAATGCTACAAAAACCCTCATCTTACATAAGGTCATATTTCAGCCCAAAATCAAGAGTAAAACGAAGCCTATTTAAAAAAAAAAAAATAGGAGAAAAAGATATCATTGCATTAGTCTTACAAACCCTGTTCTTACCTACTTTCAGGCTAATTTCAAAAGAAAAATTAAGCATATTTAAAAAAAGAAAAAATATATTTATGCTATATATATATATATATATATATATATATAACTACCTTATATATATACCGGGAAGATTTTAAAACGAGCGCTTCATTCATAAATCCGTAAGATCTTGCCTTCATACTGTGGAAACACAAACCGTAAGACAGAACACAACGAGCGCTGAAAAGAGGCGGGGCTACATTGTGTACAGTTGACCACGCCCATTTTATAAATGACCCCATTATAGCTATAACCAAATGGTAAAGTTAATTTTTTTTGTTGATAACTATTGACCTAGAGAGTCCGGAGAATTGTACTGCGGTGTTTTTATTGAGGTTGAGCAAAAAAAAAAACGTATGACTAGTTCATAAAAGTGTGTATATAGCTTTAGGTTTTTATATATAATCATAATTCAGCCCGTTGAACCTACACGACCAAAGTAAAAAGATGTACCTCAAAGCATAAAGTTATATAAAACCATCATATATCTATATTACCGAGAGAGGCCAACATGTCGTGCAGATCCTCCTTATCGATGAAGCCGTCTCTGTTCTGATCGATCATGTTGAAGGCCTCCTTGAACTCCTGGATCTGTGATTGGTCGAACATGGCGAAGACGTTGGAGGTGGCCCTCTGCGGGCGCTTCTTCGTGGTCTTTCCTTTGGCACGCTTGGCTGCTGACATGATGACTGCTGGGTTTGGTTCTGCAGAAGGAAGAGATGCGAGATTACAGTCATTAGAGTCGCTTATCGCAGTCTGGAGGGAAATGCAATGCAATAGAGCAATGCCATCGACTCGTAAGATGGATGAGGTGGCAACACTTTACAATAAGGTTCATTAATTAACATTAACTAACATGAACTAACAATGAGCATTAACTAACATGAACTAACAATGAGCAATACATTTGTTACAGTATTTATTCATATTTGTTAATGTTAAAATACAGCTGTTCCTTGTTAGTTCACAGTGCATTAACTAATGTTAACAGATACGACCTTTGATTTTAATAATGTATTAGTAAATGTTATATAATATTAACTCAAATTAATAAATGCTGAAGAAGTATTGTTCATTCTTAGTTCATGTTAACTAAGGTAGTTAACTAATGTTAACTAATGAGCCTTATTGTAAAGTGTTACCGATGAAGTATAAAAAAAGCTGTGTTGTTTCAATTCATGTTTGGGTCAAATATGGACAAACACAACCATTGGGTTTAAAATGCATTAAACCAACGACCCCAACAGGGATTTCAAAAACCCAGCATTTTTTAGAGTGTGTTTTCAATCTAATTCGGTGGGAAAATATGTACGAAATGTGTATGAAATATACACCCAGTCTTATATCATAATAGTTAGAGGGACATTTGATGCTTTCGACGTGAATCTTCAAGCTGTTTCAGCAGAATCCTGCGGTGTGACATGCTATAATTCATCTAAAACTTCATTTTTTGTACTGCATGGAATATATTTTACTGAAAACAATGTATTTATCAAACCGCAAGGCCAACTAAATCAAGCCAGTAAAGACTGAAAATGGTGACACTTTACAAACCTTTTGATTTCACTTATACATACAGTATATGGGTTACACTTTATTTTATCAGTATTACAGTGTAATTATACATTTGCATACCGAGTAATAATATTTAACTACATGTACTTACTATAGGCTTAGGGTTAATTGCATGTAATTATGCATAATTTATAGTTATTACTATAGAAACTACATGTAACATATGTGAGCGTCACCTATATTTAAATCCAAAATCTTGATGTTGAATTATAAAATGGTTATTGTAACAACAGAACCCCATTTCAGACTTTACATATTTCAAGTGTAAAAGATCATATTGAATCAGTTTTGAAACTATACATGTTCTCTCCCAGCACTGTTCAGACTGAAACTGTATTATATCCGTTAACCATTAACAAAACCAACAACGTTTGACAGTTCTTAGAGTAAGTGTACCTGGTTTAGCTGTTGAAGACGGTAGAGAACGCCGTGTGTGTGTTGGATCTGTTCCTCTTTGGGCTGAAGGGAAGTTTGTTTGGTTTTTCAGGCTTTTCTCCACACCTCCCTGTTCCTGAGCGGCCAATGAGGTCAGCCTCCCGTCTGGAGCCTTTAGCCATACAAGGCAAAGGAATCTGAGAGCCGCAGACCTCACATATCCTGAGAAACCTGTGAGAAACAGCAGAGCGTTTTCACAATGGCCCGGCTCTGGCCAGAACGAGGCCTTATTTAGCAAATAAATGACTAAGTGTGCAGGACAAAAGAAACATTTCCTTTGGCAGCCAGTGCAGATGAAGACCAGCACAGGCCGGCTTTCTAAAGTCATTTCAGGCCCTGCTCAGGGATTTGCATTAGAGGGAAAGAAATATGCAAATTTATGAGCTGCTGGCTTGGTAGCAGAGATATATCTTCTCCTTCTTCTTCTTCTCAAATATTTATATACACAAATGAATGGAGAGCTATAAAAATGTTCCTGCTGCATGCAGTGTCTATTGTTTTAAAAACTAGGCTAAACAATACATAAAAAACAGTGTGCACTGAGCTACTGCATGTATTGCATAAATAAAACAACTAGGTGATGTTACAAAAGTTCACAGTATTTTTCCATATTTTTGGGGGGAAGAAAGCCAATATCAATGTAAGTCTATACACCAATGTTCAGCTGAACAATGACACGATTGTCTTTTTAGAGCTGCTTTATGGCAGAATTGAACTCTGTTTGCATCATTGAATCATTATTTTCCTGTTTATCCCTGCAAAGCTGCTTAGAAACAATCTGTATAGTATAAAGCGCTATAGAAATAAAGGAGACTTGACAATGTCCAATTATATTAGACTAAACAACATACTCAATACTCAAGTATTATACACAAAGCCTAACCCTTACGAAAATTAACCATGGTTTTACTACAAATGAAACCAAAAAGTATGGTTATTATTGTAGTTAAACCATGCAATCACAAATTAACCATGACTTTGCTACAATATTGTTACCAAAACTGTCAATTAATCAATCCGCCAAAAAAAAACATGGTTGCTACACCTTTACTATACTATAAACCACGGTTAATTTTCGTAAGGGAAGGTTTTAGATGTTTTAATTTAATAAAATAATCAATCTACCATCATCACCGCTAGATATTTCACTGCTTCACTGGCACCTCACACTCTCTGATGGATGTAAAGTGTAACCAATCAGATTAGCGCAATAAACCCCGCCCCCAGCATCTTCATCGCAGTGATTGGTTCAGACGTTGAGCGGCAAATCTTACTGGCTTATCATTAATCACAGACGTTCTTCCTACAGAGGGCGCTTTACGGCTCACCGGTCTAAAGCCATGATTAATATAATATATGAATGAATGATGCTCATCTCATCATTTAATCCTCTTTACTAGAGACATTTGTTAACCAAAACTTTAAAAATAGCCAAAACATTAAAAATATATATATTTCATTTATTTATACCTGACACACAAAGAAAAATGCGCGCCATTCTCAATTACAAAATTGTTTTGAAAAGCCTCATCCAGTTAATCAGCGCTGTGAAAAGTAACATGTATCACGAGACAACGGTTTTTCCCCAGAGGTGTTCTGGACATTTTTGTGCACCTGAATAATGATACTGAGAGACATTAATAGTGTCGAATCGTAAAAAAACACAATGAAAAGTAAAGATAAAATAATTATTATTTACAACCATCGCGCCTGACCAATCACAGACAAGATCTTTGCCGATAACCCCGCCCGTTGTGTCACTTAAATGCTAATCACAGTTCTAGCATTTACTCTTTTTCTATGGGTTGGATCTTGATTTTTTTTTTTTCGTGGGGAGCTCCAGCAGACACAAACACTTCCTGAATCGCAGCGGTCACATCAAATCTTCTCTTTTCCAGAGCTCTTAAAGGATTTTTTTAGCTGAGTTTGAATGGAAAATGTGCCGTGCGTTTGAGTCCTCTCCGATTCAGGGTTAGTAAATGCAGTTTTGATTTTTAATAACTCTTGGAGACTAATAAAGCAGCAGATGAGGAATGATACCAGGCCATTAATGCTCTTATCTTGAGTTGCGTGATACCTGCGCAGGTGGACTGACCTCTACTGACCTCTGATCACCTGTGCTGACCCTCACACCTGTCCGTCAAGCTGCATATCAAAGTCATGGACAGTTCAAATGACAGCAAGAAGGCGGAGCCCAGAGTCAATGAGAAGAAATGCTGTGAGTTATTATATTATTATTTGTGCTAATTTTAGTACCCGTGTCTTCATAAAATGCTCAATGGTGGATCAACCTTTGTGGGGATTCAAACTGGTAACCTTTTGGTCACTACCCAATTATTAGATGTTATAAGGTATGCTTTTTTGAATTTGCTGTTTTGAATTATAAATTCTTATTAAATGACTCATTTAGAGTGTATTGATGTGGTGGTTATGAATGTATTTTTCTTTAAAAACATAATTTATATCCTTGTATAGTTATGCAAAGATAACTTTATGCAAAGATAACCCTTTTCTGCACTTCAAAAGTAGCCATAGTTTAAAGTCCCCCTGTGGTGAAAATCCATGTTTTTAATGTTGTTTATATATCTGTGTGGTTTTATTCATATGCTTTAAGACAAACCATGTGTAAATTCATAAGTCGACAGCATTGCTGAGTATTTTCTGCTTAATACTGCAGTGAACCAAAGACAGTCTCAAAAACACGGTTTGAAATCGCTGGTGTTTCTGACGTCACAAACTACATTGTAACCAATCAGATCAACGTGTGATCGTCAACGAGAGGATCTCTGAGCTGAGTGAGTGAGTGGAGGCGGGGCTCATTTGCATATTCATAGAACCGAGTATACTAAATGAGGCAAGGGTGTCGAGGTAGCTATTCTAAGGCAAAAACGTTTAAATGTGTCATTTTGGTGATCAAAGATGAGTTTTAAGTGATAAAATGATTGACTAAAGGTGGACCTTAACAAAACGAGCCCGTCATTCACACGCAGAGAGTTGAGCTTTAACATGTTCGTTCAAGCTGAAAGAGAATCTAAATCAGATTGGAATTTGAGCTCTGGGTCCAGACAGTGTTTTTATGGAATGTAAAGCCCAGTTGGATGGCGTGTCGGGTCGTGTTTCTGTGGAGGAATATACTGATGAATAGTCAGAGAGCAACCACCTAACAACAACCCAGAACATCATAGCAACACCCTGGCGATCATCCCGAACACCTTAATAACCCTATCCTCCTGAGACCCAGCAATATAGTTTTGTCCTCTGTTATGTTTCAGTGAATTTCTCTGACTCTGACGATATACATGCCACCGTTTTAATTCTGGATGTCCTGTAAAGAGCACATTCAGGGCTTTGCAGAGATACCAAATGTTTGGAGGTGCAACCATGACAACTCCCTCTCCTTGGACTTTAAAATGACTGAATGATCAAATGTAGCACTCTTATGGAAATATGATAATGGTTTGTAATGATCATTTAAATCTGACTCATTTTCAAGTTTGTCATAAATCAGCATCTCAGGAAAATGTTATGGTTTCTAATCCGAATATGACTGACAGAAATTCATTGATTTCATACATGACCACCACTGTAGAGGCATCAGGACTTAAATCATGTTTATCAGGCATTCTGGGAGACACAACCAGTGAATAGGGAAAGAAATGATCTATCAATATTCCTATGACATATTATGAAAATATATTACTCCCATTATTACACATCTTAGACTTTTTTCATTACATGTTGGTCCAAGAACACATTAATTTGCAATTTAGATACATTGTATAGATGCATTTCATTGAATGGGAATGACATTTATGGCCATGTTTACACGCATATTGCATAAAGTAAAATGGTATATCAAATCATTCTGTTAAATCTTTCATAACATAGTTGAGAATCATCTTAATACAAAGTTTTGAAAAAAAAAAAGATTGAAACCTTATACATTATTTGTGAATTTAAAAGAAGAAATCGATTCATGTCTTAATGTTCTCAATTTGTTTCTTACGGTCCAGACAATGTAAAGAATTTGCATTTCCTTCAGTCTATACTTTTTTATTTCACTTTTCACAAGGGCCTTTACTTTTGCCAAAAACAGAATACATTTACATTTATTCATTTAGCAGACGCTTTTATCCAAAGCGACTTACAAATGAGAACAATAGAAGCAGTTAAACTAACAGAAGGACAACAATACGTAAGTGCTATAACCCCTCTCAGTTTAATTTTAGTGCAGTTTTTTTTTTTTTTTTTTTTATAGAAGAGAAGAGAAAGTGTTAATTCTACTGAATCAAGTGCTGCCGAAAAAGATACGTCTTCAGCAGTTTCTTGAAAGTGGCTACTGACTCTGGTTGAGTTAGGCAGATCATTCCACCAACAGGGAACAGCTATGGTAAAGGTCCGAGAAAGAGATTTTGTGCCTCTTTGAGATGGTACCACAAGATGACATTCGCTAGCAGAGCGCAGGTTTCTGGATGGCACATAAGTCTGAACTCTGAAGTAATGAGTTTAGGTAAGAGGGAGCAGAGCCAGTGGTTGTTCTGTAGGCAAACGTCAGTGCCTTGAATTTGATGCGAGCGGCAACTGGCAACCAGTGCAATTTTGTGAGCAGAGGGGTGACGTGTGCTCTCTTCGGCTCATTGAAGACTACTCTGGCTGCAGCATTCTGGATCAATTGTAGAGGTTTGACAGAGCAAGCTGGAAGACCTGCTAGGAGAGCATTAAAATAGTCCAGTCTGGATAAAACAAGTGCTTGGACAAGGAGTTGTGTGGCATGCTCTGTAAGGAAGGGCCTGATCCTCCTAATGTTGTGCAAGGCAAATCTGCAGGACCGGGCAGATCTAGCAATGTGGTCTGTGAATTTCAACTGATCATCAATTACAACCCCAAGGTTCCTGGCTGACCTTGATGGAGTTATGGATGACGAGCCTAGCTGAATGGAGAAGTTGTGATGAAGTGTTGGGTTGGCCGGGACCACAAGTAGCTCTGTCTTCGCAAGGTTTAGTTGAAGGTGGTGGTCCTTCATCCAGCCAGAGATGTCTGTCAGGCAGGCTGAGATACGAGCAGCTACCGTCGGATCGTCAGGCTGGAATGAGAGGTAGAGTTGCGTGTCATCAGCGTAGCAGTGATAGGAAAAGCCATGTTTCTGAATCACAGATCCTAGTGATGTCATGTAGATGGAGAAGAGGAGTGGTCCAAGCACTGAGCCCTGAGGCACCCCAGTAGCTAGATGTTGGGTCTTAGATGCCACACCTCTCCACGACACCCTAAAGGACCTACCTGAGAGGTAAGACTCGAACCATTGGAGTGCAGTTCCCGAAATGCCCTTCATCTTTAGGATTGACA